TTTCCATTTTTCTTTGGCTTTTTAACGGTACGTGTACATCTTCTATTAGATGGAATGTCGTCTTCATTGAAACATGAAAATTTAAATTTCTTTCCAATCTTAAATGTTGTTTTATAATAAGGCATAATATAAAAATACTCTATTACAAGAGAATACAATTTTTAAGTCGAAACAAGAGTAAATAATGTTCTAAAAACGTAAGTATAACCTTAATAATTATGATTGTAATTTCATTGGACTCATTGAAGCAGTTTGGTGTATGAAGGAAAGTTTAGTGAAAATAATACGAAAGAAATAAAGCTAAAACTGCAGCAACAAAGATAAAGAAGAAAACGACTAGAAAGCAAATGAGTTTGAGATGTAGAATATGTGCATGTGTTGCCAGGGGATGAAATATGAGTGAGGTAATGAAGAACACGCGGGAGTTACAATCGAGTCCTTTCACTGGATATGATGTTCTAGGGGTCGTTTCATCTTATCATTTAATTTTATTGCGTGCAGCCGCAACCCCAAAGAGCCTAGGGACACTCGCTTCTATAACTAAAGCAAAGCTAATCCTCCTGCCTCGTCTTGCAACCCTTTACACCCTAAAACGTAGATACGCGTTAGCACATACACCCGCTCGTTAGAGATAAAAGAAGAAAGAGTTAGTGTATGAGGAGCATTGTCATTGATGCATGTGTGATAATCTTCGGAACGTATTCACATGAATGTGCGCCGTACCGAAAAAGGGATAACGAACGGAAAGAAAGGAAAAGAAGAGAAGGAAGAGAATAAATAGGACAACGCATTCTGCCTACGCTAATGTGGAATATTGGTGTTATAACACCTTTTGTTGTTTGTCGTTGTTGTTGGACGAGGCTTTACCAATGATAATCACATCCATTAGCTTTCTCATGAAAATTATTTTACTTGTGGACATATTTTTTATTTAACTATAATTATTATATATAATAAACATTATGCATAATATATTGTAATGGCTATGAAAAAATATTCTCGTTATTTTATACATTTATAAAATATTATTTATAACGTATTAATTTATACAATAATAATTCTATTAAACCGTGATAGTGAATTGCTTGATAGGCATTTGTAATTTAAAAAAGAAATTTAGTTTACAGCTTAGTACATAAAGATTCCCACACAATAATACGAAGTAAATGCAAAATAAACAATGGAAATTTTCGTTTAGTTAAACGTTCAATAATTGTTCAGCAAATTATATGAATAATTATAGTAAAATTCAAAGATAATGTCAACTAGTTGTGTGTATCAATGATTATACGCGAAAATTTATGGTGTTTAATATTGCTTATTATTATTAATAATTTCAGCTATATAAAATGTTTATTTTATCTGAATAATTAAAATACAATTAATTCGTCTAATATTTACGAAATAATTGAAAAGAATGAATGTCAAAGTCTAGAAACAAGTCATGTAACGGATGCATAAAATATGTATAAAAACCAAAAAAAAAAAGTATATTATCAGTAGATGCGGTTTTCAGAAATAGAGACATTGTATTTAAGAAAACATGAAAATTCAGTTTTAATGCATATTTTAAAATAAAACTTTTTTAATTCCACTTTAATCTTGCAACTTGACAAAGTAAAAAACGTAACAAAGGTAATAGATAGAACAAGCAAAGTACTGACACATGTGCATACATGAACGCAAGTATGCACGCAGGCACGCACGCACGTGCACACACTTTATACATATGTACATATACATATATATGCGTCTATATATATATATATATATATAGACTAAGATGAAAGGAGACATGAAACAATCTGTTTTTGACAATGACCAATTTGCAAATTTATTCAAACAGACAATGTACAATAATAAAATAGTTATCGAATTAAAATCTCTTTTACTAATCTATATTATTTATTAACAAAATGTATTGAAATTTACAAAGATGAAACAAAGGCAATAGTTTCGTTAATGACAGAAACATTTGTTGAAATATTCACGTCTTAATTGGTAAACTTTTCATATTCTGCTTAGTTTTGATACGGGTTTAGCATACTCTCGAGCAACTCTATAAAACAGTTTTACCACACATTCTCTTTTTATAAAAAAAAAAATGTAATAGAACAGTTTAAAAAAAGTGAAAACTATGAAAGGTATATTATTGTTGAAGGATTCTTATTACATTAGTACAAATTCGGAAATATAAATATTTATGATTTAGTTATTAAATAAAATATTTTACTATTACTTTTATTAATTTGCTTTTATTAATTATATAATAAATTTGTATTCAACTATAATGCTCCAGAATTTGAAATCTATAAACTGCAAGTTAAAAGCTATATTACTAAATGATAAACTACATTAGAAATTATAAATATGTCGGAAATATCTTTCAGTAAATGCATGATATTTCAAATATTTTAAAAATAATTAAATTGTTCGAAATTCAAACTGTTTGAAGTTAATGGAATAGTAAAAAAGGGTTATTTAATTGGTTAGCTGCATCAATTGCTTAAATATGACCTTCAATTAATTATTTAATTGAAATTCTGTATTTTCTCATATTTTTTAAATAGGAGATTTTCAATAATAGATATTATGCTTGTAGGTAATGTTCGAGAAGAGTAATAGTCAAGAAGATTATATCTGTTATTTATAGCTAAATATTATTAAAATGCACTAATAAAAGTAAATTTTACAAAGAAACATAGGATATATAAATGCTTCTTTCATTGAATTAAACCAACGAAGGGAATTCTTTTCTAATTTTTTCGATTATACTTTAATTAAATACCCTTCGACAATCATACACATACTCTCACTATATATAGACGTCAATATCTTAATTAATAATCAATAATTAACTAATATGCAAAATTTAGTATTATACACCTCATATTCTTTAATCTTCGTAATAAATAAATAAATAAATAAATATAATAAGAAAATTATTAAATATAAAGTTTTGTTATTTATCATTTTGAATAAAACCTAATAACAAAAAAGGGGAAATTACATTTTTTTAATATTTGTGTTAATAAAATAAATAACTTTTGGTGGCGTACACAAAATTTACCACGATGACGATGTAATATTCACTTCTCCATAAAGGTTTGTGGTGATATTGCAATGATGGAAGAAATACGTGAATTTAGTCTTCAAAAAAGAAAAATATAAAATCGACTGCTGATTTTTCCTAAGGGATACGTGTGAATTCGGAGAGAGGAATGCAATTTGAAGCGTCTCGAACTTCGATAAAATATTGGGAGAAAAGATTTGAATTGTTAATTGCAAGAACTGTTAGGTTAATAATCGGCTTATAATGAGTCAATAATAACCAATCAATACTGAACGATTATTTCACTTACAACAAGCAAAGCAGGTCCTAATTTTATTTGGTCAAATAGATGAAATAAAAAACACTCAGGAGCATTTACAAATTAATATATGATTGTAAATTCATAATATAATTATTTATTTATATTCAATTTCTAACATTTATTATAGATGCTAACGTTCAAATATGAAAATGTATAAATACGTTTATTAAATAAAGATTATTTATAATTATATTTTTTTTAATGATTTATAATTATTTATAATTATTTATAATTATTTATATTTATAAATGAAAAATATATATAATTATTTATAAAGATTTATATAATTATTGTTTTTGTAAGTAACACAACTATTTTCCTTGTTTATTATAGAAATTGTAGAAATAAAAATTGTAAATAGAATGGATTTATTTTCACTAATAGTTGCAATTTGTATGTAATATGATATTTTATCATCAATAAATGATATAAATTAATTTCAAATTAAAATTAATTACACTGCTAAATAATTATCCTATCCTAGTTTCAATTTTAATTGTATATTTATTATCTATTATGATAAGAAAATTCATGAAAAAGATAAAGTAAATTGTAATAAATGTAATGTAATTTAGCTATGATAAATATTGTAATAATGAATTCTGAAGCAACAAACAATACCCTACAGTATATAAGCCTATAGACAAATTTATTATAGCATCAGTTTAAATTAAAAAACCTGTTAAGTTAATTGCTACCTAAAGCAGTTTATACGTTGTCAGAATTTAGAATACGACTATATCATTCGAATTTGTGCTTTATAATATTTGTAAAAAGTATTGTCGTTTTATGATAAAAATATTTTCATATTTGATTTTATATAATAAAGTGTTTTAACTATTTTTACTAATTCTATAATATTAATTTCATAAATCAAAAACTCTTATAGATAGTTATTATTTATAAGATACTCTTAACAATATTATATATAGTTAAGCATCTAACGTTCATTGTGTTCAAAAATTGCCTTTCAAAAATATCACTATATTCTAATAGTTTACGAAAGATTATGCATAATGATTTATTTTTCAAATTTCAATTACAAGTAAAGTTCGAGATTGAAGTATTAAATGATTTTCTCGTTTCAATATAATTAAACTTTTTCGGCAACATTTTATTATTAATGACAAAACGTTCTGATTTTTCGGCATCAAAAATTCGCTCTTTTTAAGAAATTCATTCCATAACTAAAGATCGTTTAAATAGAATGCTATAAACAAAGTGATGTTTCAGTTGTTCGTATTTAGACCGGAGAAATATTATAAATAGAATATTCTATTATTAAAATATATAATGAAATATAATAAAAAATAGCGTTATAATATTTATATATTTACTTTTATTAATTTATTAACTTTGTTTAAATCACATAATGATAAAAAAAAATGTAATATGTAAATGCACATTTATTTACATTATAGTCATACGACTGCTTAATTCAGAATTATTATCAAAAATATGAATATATATATATATATATATATATATAATATACTTTATCATTACTTAATAACAAGCTATATTATATACAATAGTAGATTTCTCCTACTTTTAATTACTGCTAAATCTTTGCTGCTATGATTCCAAATTTATTTCCCAATCGGTATATAATTATAATTTTTACAGTTCCACCAGACATAATTGACTATCAAACTAGTACAGATATGATTGTGAGAGAAGGTACTGACGTTACACTACGATGTATGGCTACAGGCTCACCGGCACCAATTATAAATTGGCGTAGAGAGGATGGGCAGCCGATTTCTCTTAGTAACACGAGGGAGGGTAAGTGATTATGCATAAGCATATCGCAGGGTAAGTTTAAGCACGTATATATATATATAGATTACGCTTGTGTTATCGATCATTTTTCCTTACCCACAATAAATAGAAAGTAGATAGAAAACCATTTATTTGGTAAGATAATTAATCATGAAGTCTACTTGTAATTGCAGAGGTTATTATACGTATTAATAAACTTTCAGTATAAACAGAAGAACGTAAAGTTGAATAAAAATGAATTAGGAATAGTAAAGTCTTATATTTATATGAGAGAATATTTACTTAAATAAAATTTTACATATTTATATATATATATATATATATATATATATATATATATATATATATATATACAAGACAATTTCGTAGTTTAATTTAAAATATAAAAATTAGAATATAAAAATATCTATATTTGTTCATAATTTTATAACTGTAGATAAGCTTTGTGTACAGTTCATTATATCCATTTACGTCAACTATATTAAAATTAGAATGCTTTGCTTATGAATAAATGTTTTTGTAATTGATAAATCTTACTCTTTACATTTGCCATTTCAATTGTTGATTATGTGTAAAAAAAATTAAACTATCTTTGTTCTCAAATAATTAAAGTTTTCTCAATTCTTTTATCTTTAAAAAATATAAGTGAAGTAACTTAGAAATTATAATTTACTAATATTATATTTTGTTGTTATATTTAATTATATTTTTTATTTTAATTTATTTGAAGTTGTGATTTTATATATGCTGTAACCTTATCTTTATATTTTAAAAACAGTTCCTGCAAACATATATGTACATAATATATAAAAGTTTTTCAAAAAATAAATTTTCAAATCTCACCATAGATATTATTTAAATTATAAATCGAAGTAAAAATATGAAAACGCGCCCTCAAATTTCGCGTATCAAAATAAATTGTCGATAATTTTTAGGGGCATAGATAAAATATTATACATGCCTGAAATATTATTATTGGATGTAGGAAAAACCAGTAAATGGATATTGTTACACGATATAATGGATTGAAGATTCTCACCTACTGTATCTTATATTTCACATCCTATCTCTTTTCTCACTTTCACTTCTATCTTAACAATAAATATATGTTTTTGTACACGTATATATTCTTTATATATGCATTGAAAGTGGTAAACAGTTAAGAGTGACAAATCTAAAAAGAGAAAGAGAGATACTTAGAAGGGAACGGACAGATAAAAACAGAGGAATGAAAAGTGAATGTAAGAGGAAGAGTTTAGCAGCAACCAGGCTAGAAAATTTCTTTGCCTTCAGCAGAATTTTAAACTTCAATGAATATTAAAACAGTAATAATAGTTTAGAACGCTGTAGCAACGCAAATATACGTTCGAAACTGACGAAAACTAATTCAACATTCACTTCTCACACTTGTCATGCATGACCTTTCTGCAAATGCTGTTGAGTACAATTTGTGTACAATATATAAACGTACAATTATAGCATTTGTAGATTTTTCATTTTTTATAAACATACATATATACATACATACACACACACACGCACACACACACACACACACACACACACACATATATATATAGCATATTTGAATAAATTCACGTTCTTATTCGAGACTATATTATGTATATATTTGTATCTATCAAGTCAACATTATTCTCGAATTTTATATTTAAATTAATTGAAATAATAGTGGTTTCAACGGTAATTAAATATTTTCTATAAATATTTATAAAAAGAATTTGTTTTTAATTTGTTATTAGAAATTTATTAAATATATTTATATGAGGCAACGTATTGTGAAATCGGTAAAATGTTAATATATTCGTAGTTTTCAAAATTACATGTAAAGTAATTTCATATTTCGTGAAAAGAAAAATAAGAAATAGGGTATAAATATTATGATTTTTGTTTTAAACTTTTATACATTTTACCAAACATATATTTATGCTCATTATTACACCATTTTTATTTATACATAGTAGACTGAATTTTTTCTTTTAAATATAGGAAGATTGATTTGTTGGCTACATGAAAATATAAAATTATTGTTCCAAATTCCTTCGCATGATAAATGTTAAAGAATATTCCGATGAAATTCATTTCCAGTATGAAAATCTCTGCGACATCGCAAATAAACAAGGGAGGAATTGAAAATGACAGAGCTCCGCGAAAAAGTTCAGCTTCCAGTCGGATATAAACATGGCGAGGAAAGGAGTCGCAAAATCCTTGGGATTATCACTCAGTTTTAGAGGCGCGTTGAACTGCATAGGATTCGGGGATGCCGCGGTGAACCTCCATAGTGGAACTCACTTTTGGTTCTTCCGAGTGCTTCATTAGCGCTTGACGTGAGCGTCTGCCAATCCGTGGCAAGAGAAACTACGATTTTGCTTTAGTTTTTCTTTTATCGTTCATTTAGTTTCCCCATTTCATTTTTTATTTCACTTTTACAGAAATAGCTTTATAAGTCATGCATATTATTAATTACATAAATCACTTGAATTTAACAATCACGATCCAATATCTACATTTCCAGAATAATTAAATTCTTTTCGTATGATTTGTGTTGTGTCGCCTAAGAATAATAATAGACGTTGTGTTAAAAATGTATAGAATAATTAATATTCAAAGTAAATTATTCCCGCGATTAATTTGCATATATATTTGTATGCTTGAATCGAATAATTTAAATGACTCACTCGTTCAAATAATATATAATACATTGTTATTGTCGTGTATTTGTACGATGAAGATAATTTTAAAGCAAACGAATAAATTTAAAAACATAATAATATTCATCTTAACATATACCTTCACATAATTTATTAAAAATAATATTAATTAAAAATAATATTTTTAATTAAGTAAGTATCAATGAAATCATAGTGTCTGTGTGTCTATGTTTTTATAAACTAAATATAATTATAATTATTCTTCCATGAAATTACGCATAATATAAAGTAAAAGATACGAATTGTAGAAAATTAATAAAAATTTTTATAATAATGTATAATGTAATAATAAATAAATATATATATATATATATATATATATATATATAATATTCGATATAAATAGAATATTTTCTTATTCACGAATTATATAGGAATCCGGTATATTTTAGGAAACTTATTTCATGTTTACGCTCAGAAGGTTAATGAGAAACTTAATCTTTCATTTCCATCGTTAAAGCACTATAAAACTCTCAAACGGTTTTTCAGTTGGTCCCAAGAGAATTTTATTAACAATAATAATTTGGTTAGCCATATAACTGCCTATTTATACAAACAACTTCACCGAAAATTTTTAATTTTATATAACTAAATCTAATATAAAAGTAGTAGAGGAGATCTTTAGTATTTCAAATTGTAAGTCATTATCTATTAAAATATATTGATATATTATTTTCAATATTATTCGTGATGTTATTGCGATATGAGAACGAATGGAATGAAGTTTTGCATATAAGAAATGGTGGCTGAGATGGAAATAATATTTTTACAAAACGGTATCGTGTCTTTGATTATTGGCCGAGTAACGTCGAGTACTTTTAGAAGTTTTTGTTATTTTTATTTAACAAAAGTTTATAAATTTACCGTAGTAATAATAATATATTAAATTATAATGAAAAATGCAAGTTTTAAAGTTTTGAAAATTTCAAGCGTTTGTTTTATTTTAAATTCAAGCGTATTTTCTTTCCTTATGCAATTGAAGGAGAAATATTGTAATCTATATAAGTGATGATATTTATTTTTGATGGTATCATGAGTATAAAAATATTTCTATAAAATATAGAAATAGATACAATATGTACGATTTAGTCGAAGGAGTTTCCGCTCAGAATATAAAAAAAAAAACCACAGATTCTATTTCAATACGAATAACTTAAAGTTATTTTATATATAGTATATTCTGACTGTTGATTTTTATCAATATATTTTTCAATTATTACAATCATTTTTACAACTCTAAAAATAAAATGTAGTCCTTATAATCATAATACCTTTTGATACTTAATCATTTAAATCATTAATTTTCTATCTTCTTTGATATTATTTTATACTTCGTATTTTTGAGACGTGTACATTTTTATTGACCATTATACATTAAGCTAATAGAATAAGCTTAAAAAATAGAAATTATGCGCCGTATTGAAATGAAAGTTATCTATCTAATTTATAATCTAGAAGTTATGATCTATTATAACTTGTCATTGAATTATTTCTACATTAATCCGATATTTGTAAATATTGCACTTAGCTTGATACAGCATCAATCCAACGGGGCAATCCAAAAATTTCATGTAATATTTATTATGGTACGAAGTAACTTAGCTTGGTTATTTAGCTCACAAAAGCAGCGATTCGAGCTGCTAATGTCGCGTACTCTCGAGTCCCAACAAAATTAGTCGGTGTCCTTTAACGGATTAGTGCTCCTGAAATTGGAGCTTCGTCGTCCACTCGGGCGATGTAACTGGCGCTTCTCGCAGTTTGTCAGGAATGTGCAAATATTTCGGCGGAGGGGTTATTCGATTGCGGTACGGATGTTGGAGCGAGGCGAGCGCCAGACAGTGGCAGCTCGACCTGGACTTCCGGATAAGTAAACCGAATTTACGGAGAACAGGCGAGGCCAAGCACAGCCGACTGCTCCCACGTTTATTCGTTCGCGCCGGGGCTTTGCCGGCCTTCCCTTCCGTCGCGCTAGTTCAACTGATCGCCATGAATCGCTATATTTAATTTTCAGATAGCGAACGATAAAGATATACGTGTTGGCGGAAAATGGGGACGGGGGACGAAACCAAAGAATTGCGCGACCGTAAATACTATTTTCATCGGTACCGATTGCAGAATGTTTTCAATTAACATTAATTTTTTCTAATAAAGCTCAACAGGTACTTCTTTCTTCTAAACTTTAGAAACTATAATTAAATTTCCAGTATATCCAATATTTGTCTATTTACTTTGAATTCATAATGCTATAAGTAACTTCTTAATTTTTCTTTTTTTATTTTCATTTAGATATTATAATTTAGTTTTGACAATATTATTATTTTTATTATGAAATAGCTGAACTATTGATATATTATATTTTTTTTTATTTATTTATTTATTTTTGTTTTTGAAAAAAAAACAAAAAACAATAAAAGAAGATTAATAGCTTTCCATACAACATTTCTACAATATTACGGAATTTTATATTAAATAATATATTTAAATAATTTTAATTCATTCGAATTAATTTGAACGAAGAAATGTTTTAGAATACTCTCTAAGATAAAAAATGAGGTCGAACGTTATCTTAAATAATAAAAATGATATTTTTCTGACAGTCAGTTATTAATGGGACATAATTCGTATTAAAATTTTATACACTCTATATTAATTAAGTTATACTACAAAATGTCAGTATTTTTATATTTTCGTTGCCATTTTTAAATATTAATTATTACTATAAATTATTTTCAATTAAGCGAAAATAACGCGAAAATATTTTTCGTAATGATACGTTAAAAAATCTATATTAAAAATTTGTAATATGCTGATGGTTTTGTCTAGTCATCCACGGAAATGAATGTAAATATATAAATTCAGTTTCCGAATTAATAATAAAAAATATAATGAACGATAAAAAGTAATCCATAATTATAATTAAAGTAATTAAATAACTTGAAATATATGTCTATGGAAATTCCATAAAGATTTATTCGCTTGTTTTTGCTAAGAAAAGGCCCAAAATAGAAATCAAAGTTACAAAAAAATAGCGTGGATAAATAAATTTGAAAAACGACGCAGTTTAGCAAAAGTACCATTGATAAAAATATTTTTAGTAGTATAAGATAATATAATCAACCAGAATTACACTCGAAAAAGCTGATTAAAGCGGCCGTGTATCATCTTAAACACCAGTTGATAATCTACTTTGCAGTATCTCATCAAAATTTGATCAACCTTCATCGTACAAATACATTATAGTAGATTTCAAAGTAGCTTTCAAAAATCATTAGCAAGTGTGCCAATTCCTAACTAGCGATTTAAATTATAAATATTCTAGGAAAACTGCTATTTCTAAATTACGTCGATTCTCATTATAAGCAATTAATCATAGAATAAATTTTATGCCGATTAAAATCATCGAATTTTTTCACTTAATATAATATCTTTTAAATAAGTCAATTATTAGCAAAACATGATCAGTCATTATGTTATATATAAGTTATGTAAAGAATTTGTTATTTGTTATTTATTATTTATTGTTATGAAAATATCTTCTTCTTTTAAAATATGCTTCGCATAATAGTTGACAAAAATACAAACAAAATAAATTTAGAAAATTTTAAATATTTATTTCACACCTGTAATTATAATAATCATGCAAAATAAATGGAAAAATTGTGTAGTTATTGATGTATTGTAGGAAAAATGTACTGTAAATTATAATGAAAATGCAACACATTAATTATACACATATTTTATTTTCAAAGTACAAAGTGTGGAAGGCTCGCAGTTCAATCTGACGCAAGTAAGTCGAAAACAGATGGGACCATACTTGTGCATAGCATCGAACGGCGTACCGCCAACCGTCAGTAAAAGGATCATCCTCGTCGTGCAATGTAAGTAATGGAGACAAACCCGTGCATATATTATAGTAATCGAATTATCTTGCGGTCTTGTATTGAGTATTGCGAGTCGGCGATCAGTTTGCTCAGTGTCATCGATAAATTTCAGTTCCACCGATGATTTGGATTCCGAATCAATTGATCGGCGCACGAGAAGGTCATCAAATTACGCTCGAGTGTATTTCTGAAGCGTATCCAAAATCCATCAACTATTGGACGCGCGATAAAGACGATATTGTAGCACAAGGTAAACGGAACATAAATCATTTAGTTGCTTACAGTTGTTACTATTGAAATGCCTTTACAGTACTACTTTTTGGTCCTCAATGGCATAACGGTATAATACTCTAGTCACTTATTGTGTATCACCTTCCATTGAGAATTCTAATAATTTTAAGTAATTTTATTTAATCAACTATGTCAATTATTTTATATAAAATTTTAATTGCTATAAATATGAAAAATTATAGAAAATTTAACAGACATGAACTGAAAAACGGTATACACGATCATACGCTATTTGACTTTCAAATTATAATATTAATCTTCTAGTGACTGTTGACGTGAATTTACTTTATCATCTGAAAACTTTGCAATTCAATTTTCTTAGTAATAACTAAGAAATAACGAACGGAACCTCTAAAAGTATAGTCTAAAGTAATCCGAAGCTCAGTCGGTTGCAATATATGTGAATGTAGTATTAAAGAATAAGGCTGAAACTATTATACTCATTCCATTCTATACTTATTTCTATAATTATTAATAAATTTTATAACGAATAAAGACAAATACCTTAATTATTCAAAGCGTTAGGTGCTAAGAGTTTTAAAAATAATTTTTGACAAAAATAATCCAAAGTTTCGAATCTATTTCGTTTCGTATTTATCAAAAATATCGTACAAAGATCGTAAACAAAGATTCAAAATTTATGCTCAAATGAAAATATTTTAAAAAATAAGGAGAATCTAAAACTATATTTAAATAATAAATTATTTATCATAGTTTTATAATAAAATTTGTACCGATTAATCGTAGCATACAAGTATTACAACAATTTCATTCAAAATTTACTCAGCATTCATAATTAAATTATCAAATAAACATTCAAGATTTTCTGTTTGTTTAATAAATATTATATTATTACCGTATATAAATCGAGATAAGCGTATGTAAAAAAATATCGATCAAATATAATTTTGATCAATTTTCTATTAATCTTGTATAATAATATATAGAATATTATGTACAAAAATTTTCCTTCACAGATACATGCACATATACACCCGCATATAATAATAATATCTAAACAATGTTTAATCCTGATATAAAGATTTTAGATGAAAAGATTTATTGTAATTGATTTCAAATTAAAGTTTGCATAATATAAATATTTATCATTTTTAGAAATTTTCTATATTTCTATTTTACTGTAATACAAGCGATGCCGTGAAATCTGTAATCGAAAATATATTTTTATATTTTATTTAATGATAATGTAATATTTTTATTACATAGTTTCAAATATCATTGTTATTATTCTTTAAAGGCTTTATATTTATACTACATATTGGCAAAATATTAATAATATGTTTTTATTATTATTTAAGATTATGCAATATACTAAACGTGAATAAAAATCTCCGAGTATAGAATAAAAAAAAAGTAATAATACTAAGTTATTTATTCGTAAGAATTTTACTCTTTTATCGATTTCTCGCGTGAATAACGACGTTGTCCTATAAGATATATTTATATCTATCAATATATTTAAAATTAAATTAATTACCGAATAATACATGTATAGTGTAAGAAAAAATATTTATCTAAAAGCACTACACAATGTAATAACAATAAAACTTTAATCAAGGATTAAAAAATTATAGTGCAAATTTTAGATTTATTAAAGACTAATTATAAAATTATTTGTGAATATAGCCAATTCTTTATTACTCAAGTTAATTAAGAAAAACAAACTAATATTTGTAAATTACTGATTTTTTTTAAGGCTAGATCTTTCATCTTTCATTTTTAATTAGGATTTTCTTGTCAACAATCGAACTAATACTTAATTACTAATACTTAATTTATTAAAATTTATAATATTTTATTTTACATATAATATATACAATTGAATTACTATTATTTATTCAAATTTATGAAAACCTATTTGAATATATTTAGTAATATTTAATAATATAATAATAATAATTTATACCTTAAGTGAAATCTATAATTAAATGATGTAATACTAAATGTACAAGATAGTAATGGCTACCATTTCAAACTTAGTAAAATGAAATATATGCAAACTATAACATAATATTGTTTCTTTTAATTAATTAAATAGTAAAATTCTATTAAATATTCCAACTAATAATAACGTATAACTAACGTTAACAACTAATGTAGAATCTGTTTGTAATTTAATATTATATTTAAACATGGAAAATTATATAAGAAATCAAAATATTGAAAAATATACTACATATATTTTGAGACATACATAAACAAGGATTTAAAAGATGAAAAATGAAAATCTACTAATGTATTGATACGAAAAATGTTATTCGAAGAACATACAGACTTTTCTCTCTCTCTCTCTCTCTCTCTCTCTCTATATATATATATATATATATATATATATATATAATATAAGCTTTACTATGTTCTTGTTTTCTGTAATATCCTCTTGAATGAAACTTTACTTTAACTAGGTCGTAAAGGATGTCTGAGTTTAGAATGTGTTGGCTCAACTAATGTTTGAAATACAAATATCTCAATCTATGATACATAGTATGTTCAGAGGAAGAATTAATATGTATTTTATTTAGATTATAGAAATTTTATAGAATAATAATTCTGTTGAATGAAGATTATAATTCAATATATCGTAAAATTAATTTCTAATAGACTTAAATATTAAAAATTTTCTCATTTATTGTTTAATATAAAGTTCATAAAAACGAAATTTACTAAAAATTTAAAAATAAAAGGAATGAAAAACATACAATATGGTATAAAAAATTTCAAATGAAATTTTATAATTGTATATATAATATATTTTCTGTATTAATAGTTTTTTTTTTTAAACAATTACGCAATATGAATATTTTATTCAAATGGCTTTTATCGCTTTTCAATGATTATCTAGTTTAAGTTTTTAGATTTTAAGATAATATAAGACTCAAATGGAGCTGATTTGAGCGGAAATCACGTTAGCTGAGTCACGAGACGAATTTTGAATCGTCTTGATTGTGCTATTGTGACATCTTTACTTTATTGTGAACTTCTTTGAAAATGTTATCAATTGGTTTTTTACGATTTGCTATTGGTAAATAGAGATTTTATGATACCGTTTTGCTCTTAACAGAATACTTTCTGAATACTTTGGATCAAATGTATCAAAACTTGATTTTATTATTTAAAAGAATTTTGATAAATATTGTCAAGAAATTTCCATTTTTTGAAAATATTCGAAAATTTCAAGCATTGTAAAAGTGTGAAAACAATATAAACTATTTATTATTAACATTTTCAGGTGATAAATATGAACCAGTTATTGTTGAAAGTGCATATAAAGTGCATATGAAACTAACAATTAAATCTGTCACTGCATCCGATTTTGGATCCTACAAATGTGTTTCCCGTAATTCATTGGGTGACACAGACGGCAGCATTAAACTTTATCGTAAGCATTTATAGAACGACCATTTGAAATTTAAGATTATATATATATCGTATACTACACTTATATATTAGGTTTTTTTATGGTGGATTTTGAAAAACATATATTTCATGGTATTATTTATAATGAATTAAATCGGCATGAAAAATTTCATTAATTTGGATACCACTTATTCCATGAGGAAATAACTTCTATGTACAATTAATTTATAATAAAGTTTGGATTCGACTTATTTTATAATTCGGGAAGATTTGACTACACTGAAGTATTATAGTATATAATATAGAAAGTATTACTCGTTATTAAGGAAACTCGACTGAAATTCATTGTATCTCCATTACGCGTCATCTTACATCTCAGAACGATAAATTTTGTGCCAATCTGCTTGCTACGATCGAATCAGTTACAAAAAGCACATAGTTACAATTCTGTTTTGATATTACGTAATTAATACCTGTTATCTCTTATTCTAGAAAAATTAATCTATACTTAAAGTATATTTTATAATATAATACACAAAACTGCTCAGTTACACTAAATTCAAGAATCTTTACTAAATTTAACTTTGCCGTTAAATTTTTATTTCATTAGATAAATAATTTAAATAATAAATATTTATTTTCTTTTGGTGAATTCTACAGAGAAATTTATTACATGTCTAGTACAAAAAATAATTATATGAACTAAATACCAGTGAAGAAAGATGCTTAGAATAAGGCCAGGATATATAATTTAAACAAAATAACTAAACATTTTTATAAACACTTAAGAAAAAGTTGCTTTCCAAAACTAAATACATGAATTATTAATAAAATTCAAATAATCCTAATGATTACCGCATCATTTTAAATTTTATTTACAGGAATACCTTCCAGTTCTGGATATCATTCGAGCGACAGTAATGACACGAAGCACAAAGGTAATTAAATCAAATGATGATAAGGTACAATGTAAACCATTATTTTATTTTCTTTCTATTCTGTGCAAATAATTTTATAAAATAGATTTATTTGCATTTATCTTGTTTTATTAGATATTTACATAAAAAATAAACCGTAGAACGATCCAAATGTGAATATATATATATATATATATATATATGTGTGTGTGTGCGTGTGTGTGTGTGTATGCACGTATTGATTAATACATTTTGTATTTGTTTTACGAATAAAAATAAATTTAAGTTGCAGATTATAGAATAAATTCGTTTAAATGAAAATTACAAAAATGTTTGTTTTTCAGATTTATGAAATTATTACCAATAATATACTTTTTTGAGGAATAACGATACTTTTTATATTTGTTCAATAAAAGTATTTGCTTTTAATTGTATAATCAATATTTGTTTTAAATAAAAATACAATTTTTGATTTGGAATAGAATTTTAGTTTATTCATAGAAATATATATTTCTTACATATTTTTATAATATAATGTAATATTGATAATTTAATAGACTGAGCTGTTTTATTGCATTGATTAGATGGTCATATAAAAAACATATATATATATATACGTAAACTTTAATCGGATCTTTATTTTAAAATAAAAAACTTTATATATTATGAACTTTCTAACAAAGTAATAAAACAATTTTATGATCTTGTCTACTTTATATAATTATTATTTATAAAAGCTCATTGTAATCGGGCTATTTTCTATTTGCATTCAAGCTGAAAATTTTTAGTCTTTGAATTTTGAACGCTATTGTCCCTGTGGTAATTATTTAACGGTTCTGGTGTATTATTTCATATAATGTGTATTATATATAATTTTGTAGCTATCAGCTTTCTGAATATTGCATGATTGATACTTCTGTTTATGAAGTATGTTCACTATATCGGAATTATCAACTATTTACTCATAATTATTAATTTTATTCAAAATAAATTTAAATTCACATTAAATAAATAGATCTTCGTAACTTTGATATTTATAAAATATATTTGAAATACTTTATTATACATTTATTGTATTTTCAATTTATATACAACAAATACTGCAATTATATACTTACGTTTAAATTTATACAATTAGTACTTAGTTATATCTATAAGTTATTAGTAAAGAATTTATATTTTATTAAATAGATTTTTAACGGTTCTTAAAATATTTCGTAATAATATTTTTTATCAATCTAATAACGGTTAACTATTTTATTCCAAGTAGTTTTTGTTTTTAAATACTCAAAACTTTTTGCGTATCGATATAAATACGTACATTGTTGAAAATATGATTATATTTATTATAGTTTTTATTATTCAAAACATTTTTTTTTTTTTCGTTATCATAATTCTTCTCTACCTTAATAAATATTGGATAATGATTTTAAAATTAAACTTCTCTAGACTGAAGCTTTTAGTAATTTTGTACTTGTTTTGAATGATATTTCTACGATATCTTTGAAATTATAATATATATTTATCATCTATTGTTTTTGTTTATTTTTTATTATTCAGCATTTATTAAAAACGTATATAGTAAGATATATCCATCAAAAACATTTTACAAAATACATTGTGTCTTAATATTATAAATATTAAACTTTATACATATATAAGACATGTATGGATATATAATTTTTAAAAAAATATATTCGTCAAAAAATTTATTTCGCGCAAATTTTTTATATTTCTAGTGGCGTATAAATGAGTGATTTTAACGTGCATCTTAGAAAATATGAGATATATCTCTTTATAAATGAACGTGAACATCAATCGATAAAAACATACTATTGTACTTTGAAAGTGTTAGAGAATACTCGAATTTTGATTCAACGCCGTTCAAATAAGTGAATACATCATTTCGTTACACACAACTTAGTAATTGAAACACTATTTGAAAGTTACATATTTTTTTAAAAAATCAGAAGTTCCTTTTTCTTTGTATTTTATGTCAATACATATATTGCACACTCTTTTATCTACTTTCTTTCGGAGATCCTCTCGCACGGCGGACTTTCCTTCATTCAGAAGGGGTTTACGGGGCTACAACGACCGAAATACATCTTTTCTTTGCATTTTCCAGACAGCGAATCCTCTCTTTCAGATGTAGACAGTTTCAGATTCACAGTCTTTTTTAACCATTTCTTCGTCACTGCATGTCTGCTTGCACGTGCGTGCACCGGTACATATATAGAATCGTACACATACATTTTACCAATGTAAAGGCATTGCGTGTACATCCACATTATCTACTCCCCGTGTTCTCTTTGAACTGTAAGAAGGTGTATGAGAGAGAGAGAGAGAGAGAGATGGGAGAGAGAGAGAGAGAGAGAGGAGAGAGAGAGAGAGAGAGAGTATGAGAGAGAGAGAGAGAGAGAGATGGGAGAGAGTAGAATATATACGAGGGAAAAGATTTTCGTCGAATACGTGCTCAACATATGTGATTTGCGAAACAGCGTGTACATTTTTTTATGCTCTTAACAAATTCGGATAGTTTGAGTTGACTCTTTTATATGGTTTATATGTAACTCAATCGCATAATAATACAGCGTCAATTTCTTTTATTTGGCACTATTTTTTATTGTATCGGTAATATTTTAATTTTAATGAATGATATATAAGATTTAATATTGATTTTATAGCAATCTCAATTACTTTAACATTATATTAATTTCAAGATTTTAAAATTCTCATTGAAATTTTTAAATAATTAATTTATTTTAAATATGAATACAATTTAAATCAATATTTTATAAAATAAAATGGCAATACGTGGTTTTAATATAAAATACTAAAAAATTAAAGTAAAAATTAATTTCATATTTTTGTCGTTGTTGTAAAAGCTAATATTGTTTAGTTGCTTCTTAGAAATTCTTTTATTAACGGATGAAATCTTTGCGCAACAAAATACTATGGAACTCGGGCTCATCTGAAAAATTGTAGTCAACGTGACTTTCTCTCTTCCGTTAACCGCTTAAAGAAATCCTATTTAATATCAGATAACGTCAGCGCCATGAAAAAAAGAGAGAGCACTGGTGTATGCAAAACATCAAGTTGGTTACGAAAAGGTGGATGTCAACTAGCGTGGAGAGGCTTGTTCGACTAGAGATTAAAGTTAACTAAAGGTTAACTTTCGTAAACTTTCGCTTCAGGTCGTGAATACCAAGTTTTGTGTGATCTCGAATCAAAACGATTCATAGTCTTAGATATTCTTATACTTGTATTAACAAGCAAACCTTTCGTCCTTGTGTTATCAAAGTGACTTGTGCGGAAGTTTTTATTCGAACAATTTTTAAAACGTTCAAAGATGAACTGCGATTCATCTTAAGAAGCTTGTTTGAAATTTCATACTATTCAAGAAATTTGTCAATATATCGCTTATGATTTAGTGATTAATACAATTTTAGAGTTCTTTAGGCAAATTAAGTAAAAATCAGTAAAAAAATTTCATGAATATTTGCTATACTATTTTCTATATTCTATCGTCAATTTTCACTATAATGTAAATAAAAAAAAAAAGATTTAACCATATATACGAAAACTTAGAATACATATTTAAAAAGTAATAATGTCCTGATATAATTGTAAATATGATTTGAACACTAATCATTACAGTGAAAATACACTTAATAAATTGTAAATAATAAAAAAAAAAGATTATCACATTTAAATAATTCTATGCTTATTAATAAATTATAATGAATTAATAACATTTATATATTTTACAGTACAGTTGTAAAGTTTTTGTAAATTAAGTTAATTTTGTACGTCGGCTTGAAACAAATGTATCGTAATTTCAGGAAAACCAAGAAAGAATGCTGGGAATAACATTTTGGAAGGAAATCAGGATATGCTAAAGGAACGAGGTTAGTTTAATAAACTAAATATATACAGCAAACATTTATATTACAATTTTTACATTTAAAGTTTTAGCATTTAAAGTTTTGAAATAAAAGACTTGAATTTAATGATTTGAGCCCTATTAGCTTTATCGGAGTTTTGACATTTTTTGCTCTTGTTCAGTTCATTGCATTAAAAATAGTTTATTGATAACATTTTGGCAAAATTTTTACTCGTTGTATTATACAGCTATTAATCGAATAATAAATTAATTGAATAAAATAATGTAAATAATACCAGTTCTACCACTAAAGTACTAAACATTATTTCATAAAAAATCATTTGTATTTACAAACGATATATATTTTTGCATTATTTACAAATTCTTACAAGTTATTTGTATTTCCTCAATTTTCGTAAATAATCTATAAAAATATATTATAATTAACATTACTTTACTTAATAGTTATTTATTTGATCCTTTTATTAATATCTTTGCAATCTGAAACATATTAAAAATAGTAATATTAAACTAAAGCTTCTATTTAACTTATTGATGAATTTTTTAAACTGAATGCATAAAAACAAGTTCTGACCAGTAATACGTTTGCTATACAGAAAAGGCGTGATTCCAAATTAAATTGCAATGAATACTGCTTGATTAAAGATGCACGATATATAACTAATATACAACATTGTCGAATAAAAATATGATGAAAGAATTTCGTTGAATTAATACGTATTTGGAAACATAAAGCATTTTTTATTTAGCTATTAATTAAAATTTTAAAGCTGTTTATTTCGAATTAAGACGAAATAAAGAGGAACGCCGAAAAGCACGTATAAACAATATCATAAAGATTATACAAAAGGGCTAAGTTAATTATCCGTTGAAAAGCGAGTTCAAAGCTAATCCTGTCTTATAAAGCTCGCCCACGAAATTATTCATAAAACTTTTTGATTTTTTTTGCAACTGGCAAAAATTAAGCTCCAACTCAGCATGGGGTCACAGGAGTATTCCGTCACGCGTGCGCAATATATTCGTATATAAGCGTTGTCCCTTACTGTCCGCAGATCCGAATCAACCAAGTAACAAAGAGGACGAGGAGAACTACGAGGACTCAAGGGCACGGGCCTCGCTAGTATCATCATCCTGCATTTGCATTGTACTCGCTTGCACTTTGGGACTCGTATTGCCACTGCCCTTTCGTCATCAGTCGGAGCTTCGGGCACTTCATCCAGCTTGAGAGACTCATTGGTTTTGTCCTCGGCGACGTCGCGTCGCTCTCGGCCTCGGATTCGCGACACTCATCCTTTAGGAAGAATCTGTGACAAAGTGTTCACAAAGAAACGAGCTGGAAGGAGGTCACACAGCAATGCTCACTCATTCGAACGCTTCCCCATCTTACTTTTCTTTATTACTTTTTATTCTTAAAAGTAGAATAAAAGACAAAGGATATAATTCTTTTAATAAAATATTTCATTTATATTATTTAATTTATTTTTTATTTAGTAAAATTAGTTTATTTAGCAAAATTAGTCATATATATATATATGATATATATATTATTTTCATATATATATATATATATATATGAATGTAGGTATCCCTCGGCAACTCTGTATGTGTGTGAACGTGTTTCCATGCGTAAATTCACATTGTGATTTAAAATGTAACAAAACTTATTTAAATGAATCTGGGCTTCCTTGCCACTTATTTCTGTATATTACTGCATTACAGTTACATTTTTCTGTTAATCAAGAATTTCTAATTTCTAATTGTGACTTGGATATCTATCAAGACAATTTACAAAACGTTAAATTCGTATATTTCTTTAAAATAATTAAATTGTATATTATTAAATAAATCCCTTTGAAATTAATGAATTCGACAAAAACTGATACACATAGATATTAAACAATACAAAAGTAATTTATACATAACAACAGACGAATATAAAATTACATTTTCAATTGGTGGAGTACAAAACTACACAAGTTTTAAAAATTTCTATAATTATTTATTTACTCTTATAAAAAAAAAATGTATTTTTTGTAAAATTAAAAAAATTAAATTTATATAGTGAATGAATTTAAATAAATAATATACAGCTTTACGTGATTAGTTTATTACTTTAAGTCCAAATCACTGCATATCGTAAATTATCGTAAAAATTATCGTCTAATTTTGAGCATTGAAAAACTTTTTGTTTAATGTATAACATTCTCAATTATTAATAAGAATTATTATCATTTTAGAAGTATATTATGTGAAAAAATGAAAATATCATCCGAATCAGAGAAAATAGCGTTTCTTTCAATTTAATAATTCAATCGTTGCACTTATTTAACTATAATTTTAAGTAAATGTGCATTATATAAAAAGTGTATATAAATTATTACTAAAATCACATAAATAATATGAAAATAAATCAATTGTAAAATATAAATATTATTTATTAATTTCTGATAAGAAATGATTAATTTCTTCTCCACTAAAATATATATTTAAAAATATGTTTTTACATTCAATGAAATCATACGTCAACACGCATAGAATTAATTTGTTTTTCTTTCAATTTTTTTTCTTTTTTCATTGACTCCATTGACTAGGCAGGGTGAGGGAGAAAACGAATAAAAGTACTTATTTTTCATGCATGAGAATGATTTCCATGTCTCCTTCTCCCTAAAGTACAGTCATTATTTCTTGAAAATCACTAAGTTGACACAAGATACAAATGTATATAGCGAAGAATCATGAAGATGTTTCATATGTAGTAAGCCGTTATTCATGCTCTCGTTCATATTAAAATAAGTTTCATGTACACATGTATAACACGGTAATTAAAAAAAAAAAATTTTTTAAACCGCTTTCATATGCGCTAAAATAAAATTTTATTATGCGCTAAGATAGTTTGAAAAAGCTTCTTTCGTTACGAGATAGAAGAACATATTTTTATGCGGTTGAGAGTATGTAGGTGATAATGAAATGTAATAATGTAGATGCGTCGCAGTATATACCGAAAACATATATATTAATATAATAATTAAAGCAATTATCCTATTATTTTAGAGATTAGCGACGATTATTATTTAGTACTTACATTGTAGAAGGTTAATGACTAAATTGGGATAATTATTAAATGCATCAATATTGGAGAACTTTAAAATTAAACTTTACATTAACAGTAAGTGTAAAATAGTTTATTGTGAAGTGCTATGTTGTAGGAATTGCATTATATTTAAATGTTATGCGAAAGAAATGGAACTTCTATTCTATTAAAACTTATATAAAAGAAAGAGATTTATGTAAATCTGTTTTTAACTATAATAAAGACGTGTCACTGCGAACTCACAATAATAAGTCACAATATTGTGAATTCCAAAGATGTACGTGACAACATGAAAATTGATAATGTAATTTTCCATTTCATTTTAAAGGCTAATAATTCGTAAAAAGTGAAAAATATTAACAAGGGTTAAGAATACAATGGAATATTAGAAGGATACGTGTCGGATGAAATAGAAGAGCATCAAAGGTTTATTAGGTTTTTCAATCGTAACGTCAGCTTTCTCGATTTGTCGGAGTGTCAAAAGTAAGTCCAGATTAAGGAGATTTTACAAGTAGCTCCTGCATATATGACGTATAGATACTTGTGGAAAACAAATTTCACATATCTAGAAATTTATATCTCTATATATGTGCGCAGGGGAGATATATTTTTTAACATAAATAACATACCTCGGCATAAAATGCAGCAAGAGGACTTCTATAAATAAATGAAAATGAATAAATATATAATGTAATATTATCATAGACTTCATGTTTCATATTATTATTTCATTAAATTTATACAAATTGCAACCTATAAAAATATTAATTGATCATAATAATATTGTTGTCTTTGATGTATGATTGATAATGCGGGGTTTTTGTCGAATATTTGTAAAAATATATATACAACATACATGTACTTTATATTGAATGATCGACAAATCGAAACTAGTTGTTCGCTAAATTAATGATAGGATCGGGTACTTGGAAATTTAATTTATCGTTAAGAAACAACATTTATAACAAAATATATGTAAATACCAACACATGAATAGCATTACAAATGCGGAAGAAAACAATATATTTTATTTCAATGAAATTCTAACATAATTATGTAAAATAATTGCTTGGAAAATGCGAATCGCAAGAGTTGAAATGCCATTTTATTTAACAGAAGATATTGTTAATATGATTAAGAGGAAGCTATGAAATATTTATTTTCGGAGAAATTGAATTAGCATGGAAGCGAACCGACGATACGCAGTATTTATTATTTGTACGGCCAACGTGGAATTTCGCCAGCAAAAATTTCATATCACGTGCTACTTCTCGGTTCACAGACCATCATCCCGTACATTTTCGCCCCTATATGTACATCGCAATACCGTTATAATCAGGGGTGGAGTGAATAGTCTGTATGCTCGACTTATTGAATTCAACTAGCCCTTGATGAAATAACGCCAGGAACACTTGCAACTCGTTTTGCCTCCCCAAGATAACTACCAGAGCTGCTTCCTCTCGGCTTTTTGAGTCGTCTCGTGTGGAACTAAAGCTGTCTATTGTCAATCGAAACTTTCGTGTAGACGTCGTCGCCTCTATCCTCCCACGGGGGATGGTTTTGGGGGACGTAGGCGGGCATCGCACGCGCACAACTCGGGGAATAAATAAATCCGTAACGCGGTCTCTGCACGCGCGCGATGAATGTTTTGTTCGTCCCCACTTGGCTTTTTTTCCCATTTTTCGAGCTCTCTTTGAGCATTCTAAGCTTTGTTAGTAATTATAGCGAGTCGGACGACCGGAACGAGATGTCAGTCACATTTGTGGGTATTTACTTTTTTTCTCCTTTATTACGAATAAGGGCGGCAAGGGCGGCAAGGGCGGCATTTAATAAGACAGCAATTACATTAATAATACGTTTCCCTTCAATTTTTTATTACAAGGTATTCGTGTATTAAGAACTGTAACTAATTGTCTACTCTTTTTCAAATGTCGCGACAACGAATAAAAATTAATGGGTAATGAGAGATGCATATGCAAGTAAAAACTGTTAATAATATATTTTAATTGTAATTTATTACATGTTAATTAATTGTTTACTTTAATTGCCATTAAATATCAATAATATGAGCATTATAAATTTTATTAATCAAAGTTTGGTAATATTTTTGGGCAATTAGTCATATTATCAATTATACAAATTCGTTATCGAATAAATGATTTTAGAAGTAAATGCATTCATTGTTGCAAGAGATTGAGCTCTTGCACATTACGGAGCTATTGAATTCAAATTTTATCTTCATTTAATCGATAGAGATGAACACAACACAATTTGTAAAGTCAATTTCTTACAGATGCTTTGAATCTGTCACAGTAATATGAATACGAATTCATATTAATCAAGTTTTCAAAACTTAATTCGAGGAAGCGACGTATAATTTTATATAGACTTTTTTTTTTTTTTTTTTTTTTTTTTTTTTTTTTTATGCACCAAAAGATCGATATAAATAAGTTTAATTTTCTTAAAATTTTTGTCAGTTTAAAATAAACGCACGTAGTACTGTGTAGAAACGATTTTTTTTTAAATTATTTTATAGTTCGTTTAAATACTTGGCTTTTTCCATAGTTATAGGTAATGATTCAAATTTTTTCAAGATATAGTTATAGTTTATTCTAAATTATTTTGATGTAATATAATTTTATCCTGATTTGGTCATTACAGTAAATAATGCATTTTAGTCATAAGCCCATTGTATACTTAATTTAATGGATAATCTTAAAATGTAAAAGTTTGCCTGCTATTGTTATAATCATTACATGCATTGTAGATAATACATTAATTAAAAAATATACATAAGTTTTAACATTTTGCTAAGGGAAGAAATGCGCTTTAATTTAGGATATGGTTTCCTATTAAATGTAATTATGAATGTAATTTCAACGACACGCAAACAATATTGTTAATCTATCCAAATTAAACTGCAATCGAAAAAATATAGAATTATATCAGAACCAATATATTGATAAATAATTTGATCATTTTTGTACAAATTGTGAAAAATTTTTACCGAAATATTGTAAAAAAAAAAAAAAAATATATATATGCGAACTTCCCTTGATAACAAGTAAAAAGGCGATTGCTATTACGGTACATGAATGAAACTGACATGTGCGTAGGCTTTCATGCTGCTGTATGCATTGCGTGCAAATGAGCTTGTCATTTAGGGAAACAATTATAAATATCTAAGAGCACTAAATTTGACAAAAAAAAAAAAAAAAAAAAAAAAAAAAAAAAAAAAAAAAAAAAAAAAAAAAAAATCTAAACTTGAATT